TGCAAACTATTCCCTAAAGAAATAGTATCAAAATTTTGGGGACAAGAAAGAATTTGATGACAATCTGTTTTCATTTCTTTTCCTTCAGATGCTCAATGACAATTGAATGCTTTATTTTCTTAGATTAATTTCTTTTACTGCAGCTACTGTTTTCCCATCATTCTCCATTTGGGGATTTTTTTTGTTCTTTTTTGCTCTAATGTTCATTAACTATATTATTTGATTGAATGATACTATCACAATTAGAAGAAAACAAGTCCAAATCTATTTGAGCAGAATCATATATTTATTCTGTAAGCACTCTACTTTCAATAAATATACAGGCTTTTGTATTTTTGAGTTTGGGTTTGGTTTTTGGGGGTTTTTTTGTGTCTTTTTGTTTGTTTTTTAGTACATACACACATTTGAAAATATAGCAGTATTCAAAAATCCCTAAATTAAGTTCACAATTGTTTTCAAATTTCAGCAGAAGGGTAATTTTCCTTGGATTTCTTATGTAGCTACTTAGTTACTTTTTAATCTGCAAAATTTTAAAATAAAGTTTTGTTTTCATCTTTTTATCTTGGTACTCTTTGCACTGAGTTGGTTTGAGCAATAATTATTGGACAGTTTGGACTAAAAGATAACTTTAGCTAAACACCAGAATTACCAAAGGTAAGTGTTCAGGAAAAAAACTTGTTCACTTCCTCTGAAGTGAACAAAATTATTAGCAGTATTTGCCGATGACAGGACTTCTATCGGTGCTTTGGAATACCTTTTAGTTGAACAAAAATCTATCAATTTTAACAGAACTTCCTGCTTGGAAGTGTCATTTAAAATGATTCTTAAAGTGAAAAATAATATATATTTTTATCAATTTTAAATCAAAAAGGAAAATCTGTAAATAAAAGAAAAATCCCCCCTGACAAAAAAAAAAAAAGATAACCTTAATTTTCATTTTAATTTCATCAGCATGCAACAGAAACAACTCCTTTAAATCAATAGGATGTCATAAGCAATTTGAAGACAAAATCAAGTGGTTGAAAGCAGATGCAATTTAAATATTTGGTAACACTCTCTCTTGTGATCTATAAAAATTAGTATAATGATTTTTTTTTTAAATTTAAAAAGCAAACAAGAAAATACAAAACAGAAAAAGATACAATTCTTAGCTATTTCATGGAAGAAAAAAAGAAAGGCTAACTCCAGCCCAGGGAAAACTTTCAGTCAATCAAGTTGCATTGCAGATTCAGTCAGTAAGAAGTGTTAGGAAACAAAAACATTACAATGCAAGCTCATTGTATTTACAGGTAATATTTGCTTATTCAGGTAATTAATCATCATGACTAATTATACTAGAAGGTGGACAGATTATTTCAGTAAACCAAGATTACTTGCCTGTGGGTTGAGATCTAGGAGCTGGATATGTACACTTTCACTAATAAATGATAAGGATCACTGGTGAGGCAGGTTGCAGAGCTTGGGAAAAGTAGTAAGTTACTAAGTGAAACTGCTTTTGGCAACTATTGACCTTTGAGTTCTTAAACTGGAGCATATATAAACAACACAATGTTCTCTGGCAAGTTTTGCCTGATAACCTGCTGGAAAAGAGACAGAATATCCTCTAGCCATTTTGCATGCACAATTTAACAATTATGTGGTCAGAGGAAGGATGATTCTTTTAAGGTGTTGGTAGATGAATGGTAGATGTTCACAGGTTTTACACATTTACAAAGAAATTTCAAAATCTAACATAGCATAATCAATATCAACTCCAATTCTTCTATACTGAGATAAATGATATTGATCACTCTACTGGGAACACACACGAAAACAGAAAGAGAGGAAGGATTCAGAAAAGCAGGTCATACGGATCAAAAGCATGACAATACTGGTTTAGGGACAAAATGTTAAAGTAAGGCTGTTTCACTCAGCACAGAAAATCTGAAAAATTATTTAGATGTATTTAAAAGCAGTGCATTCTAAGAAAGAAACACTAAATTTATTTCAAGTTACTATTATAGTTGAATAAAAAAATTCAAAATCATATTAAAAGTTAGCTTTAGATAATTACTATAATCAGGAACCATGCTTGAGAATGAGAATATGAGAATACAAATTATTTATAATTCTACCCTTGCTTGAAAATTAAATTTTCATTTAAAACTTGAGTAAAAATTTTGCAAAAAAAATATTTTGCAATACATTTTGCAAAGTATTACAAACATTGCAATGCAATCCAAATTAAGCTGTGGATGTACACTGAGTTTGCCTTTGGAATTTCATTTGTCTGTCAGACCTTCCAAGGTTTCTGGGTTATACTCAGGAGCAGAGGGTAAGAGAAGCACATTCAAAATCCTTAGTGGCCACAATTTTATTTCTAATTGGTGTTTCCACACTCTTTAGGCATTCATCAATCAGATGTAAATTAGAGTACGCCTGATTGGGTCTCCTTCACCCTAACCACTCCCTGCTGACTGGCAGTGCTTGCCAACTGCTGCAGCAGGCAAGATGAACAGCAGTAACCGCACCTCTACTGTTCTGGTAGGTCTTGGCCACCAGCAGTATCACAGATAACAACTGCTCACTTAACACCTATTGAATGTCTTGAGCACCATTGTCCCTTTGAAGAATGCAGCTGTCACCTTTGATCAGGCATGAGACATCACTGACGGCAAGTAATATAAAAGAGTAGGTCCATAAATTCAAACACTGTGGCAATTTCAGAGGAGTTCCTTTATTCTGGAAACAAGCACAGAAAAATGTCTAATCGGTGTGGAGGGAAGAGGCACAGCAGTTAGAAGCTGCAGAAAAGCTTTTTTCATAATACTTTAACCTAGTGAGTGATCAGAGAAAATACTATAGATTCAATAATCCAAACAAACAGGGGGATGGACTGTGCACCACTGGAAAAATTTATAAATACACAAGTTGAAATACTTGCAGTTACTTTCCAATGTAGCACGCAGATATTATTCTATAGTCTCCAGTCTCCTAAAGCACAGTTCTTATGCTATGTAAACATAGATTTCCTGTATTTTAGAGCAGAATGCAGTCTAAAATTACCCTCAAATGGGCATACCCCCTCTAGGTGTCTATACCCTCTTTGAGAGGATTGCCAAGTCCAAAAGGAGCCTGGAGATGTTTATGTGTGGGGTAGTGGGAGGAGGGACAAGGAGGAACAGTGGGAGAAGGGCAGACATGGTATTTTTTGGCCCAGTGGATAAGGAAAAGCAATAATTGAAATTCAAAGATCAATTTTTTTTTTTTTAATTGAAGTGTCCCAGTTTAATGACAGTATAGATGGTAGCACTGCATTTCATTAATCCTAGCAGTATTTTCAGGGAATGGGAATAATGAGCCCTGTGGGTGTTATTGACAGAAAAGTATGAACTGCTCATAGTTTTATTGTGTTGGGCAGAAAAAGGCTCCCTTCATCTTCACTGATAGATGTAATTTTGTTCTGTATTTTTCTTGAACCAACATCTTAAACGCAACCTTCTCTTTCTGAGTGACTAAGACCGATTTTCCCTCATTGCTGCCTGTGAATACTGAAAGTGAGTTTGTTGTTTCTGTGGCCAGCACTGAGCAATGACAATGGGGCATCCACAATGGAACGGCAGTAGCTTTTAAAAGGCTCAGCTTTGAACATCAGGAGTGGCATCTTGAACACAAACACCTTCAGCTTATGTGAGAGGCAAATATACCATTTGGGGCACAAATATAAGTCCTTGTCATGAATATCCAAACTGCATGGGAGTTGCAAACATTGTCAAATATTATGTAAAAGTGCACAGCTGAAATAATCTCATTTAATGATCCGCTGGCTTTTGAATATATTTAATGACCATAAGTAACCCAACAATATTTCTAACTTCATTCATATATCACAATTAAATCACTATTATATCACAAAATACACCTTTGTATAATATTGTGTTTTGTAACCAAAGGAGGTAGAAGTGTGGGAGGAAAGAGCAAATGAAAATTTTTGTAGGATATGTTATGAACATGAGATAATTTAAAAGGAGTGGTCAAATGGAAGGATGGGTGCCAGCTGTGACTAACAACAGAAACCTTTTTGCTTCTTCTATCTTTCTTTCAGGTACACAAATTTCAGTCTTTGTGTCCCTATTTTTCTTTTCTCCCTCTGCTTTTCCTGTCAATTAAGCTGTACATTCTCCACGGACAGAGGTTATAAATGTACATCGTGCTTAAAAAGCCATGAGTGTGAATATGACTGGGATGCATTTCTCCAGATGTTACTTCACTGGTTTGGTTTATCTTTGCTACTTGACTGCTTGGTTTATCCTCCTGAGCTTTGTGTTTAAGGAGATCCCAGTTTGCTTTTTCTCCCCTCTTATCCAGTGTCAGGGTGGTTAGATTATTGCCCTAGATCATGGAAGACCCAAGATCAGATCAGCATATTTGTCTGAGCAGACTGACATTCCTTCTCTCACATCTGTAAAAATCATGAAATCATATGACATTTTAGTATGGGTTTCTTAACATGCTCTGCTGTTAATGCCGTTCTCAATGACAACAGGAGCATCAATTCCAATCAACCACAAGGCCATTGTGTTTATTTCAGTGGTTCTTTTTCTCCTTGACCCAGTGGAGTTAAACAGTAGCTCCTGAAGTGGGGCTGAGTCTTTCTCTCTTCTACTTCCAAGTCACCTCAGACAGCTGAGCTATCTGAGCTACATGCCTTATCAGTTGGTAAAAAGCCAGTGGCAGTGCTTCTTGAATATTTCTAAATGTTTCTTCAGGCACAGTTAGTTCACACATTTGAAACTAAAGTTACAAACAGCTCTGAGTTGCCAGAAATTTAATTTCTTCAGCAAATAAATTCTTTCCCCTCCCACAAAAGAAAAATATAAAATCATTGCACTACTCTGTTCCATCACTTTCATAGCTTTATGAAGGGAGTGACTGAATTCATCAACAAAGCATGTTGTAAAAAGACAGATCCATCTAGGGGCCAAAACTACATAATTCTGGATGAAATAAACATAAATTACCTATAAAGGTGGACATAAGTCACGAAATAGGCAGTCTCTGTCAAGGAGTTTAGGATTACAGGTTGCCCATGCACTTGAAGAGGAAATTCGGTGCCTAAAGGAGACAACAAAATATTCAAGTCATCAATACGTGCAGAAGAACTGAGGACAGGTCTCAAAAGAAAAAAAAAGAAAAAAAAAAAAAGAAGAAGGCTTGGGATTGAATTCAGCAACCACAGATGAAAATTAATCCCAAGGGAAAAAGTTGACTAGAAACAAGATATAGGCAGGGCTACCTGGCAGAAGACAATTTTTATTGACAGGGCCCAAAGTCATGACTGAGGAGAACAGCATGGTAATTTGACTTTGAGAGGAAGTTAAATGTGGCACTTTTGCCATAATGAAGAAGGCAGAATATGGGGACTTCAGAGAAATGAATTCCCAACTATGTGACATATCCTGACAATTATAAGATTAAGTAAGCAGCCCTAGGATAAAAATAATTAGAAAAGAAGAAGTTCTGAAATTCTGCATTTTAATTCTTTTCCCACTTTGGAGTCTGACAAAAAAAAAAGCATTATTAGAAATAAATAAAAGCAGGGTATGGAATGGCTTCTGAGAATAAACCGTAATTTATAGAAGGAAAGTAAAATGTCTTCTATTTAAAACCCCCTGCAAATCAGAAATGCACAGAGTGAATGGATTTTGAGATATTCTTAGTGAAAACAGAAAGTCACTAACACATCTGTAATTGCCAGGGGGCCTATTCTTCATAAAAATTTTTATTCTCAGGATGCCCATGTCATCACAGCCTGTTGCAAGCAAGTATTTTGCTCTTTTGCAAAATACCTGCTTAAATACACAACATAAGTGGCTGTATTAGAGTACTTATCTCTGAATATGTAGGGCTTCTTTTTGGGTATGTAAATATTCACTTCAAAGAAAGTACAATAGTAGAGTGACAAAAAGTTTCAATTATGGCTCAGATTAAAAAAATACCACAATACCTTAAAAGTAATTTTCTTTGTTTCTTACTTTATAGACCATCCTTCTAGAAGGAGTCAAAGGAGAAATATGTTGGAACTCAATTACCTGTGCTAGTGAACCACATACAGATATTTAAAAATGGGTGTCTCTCACAGATATCCAGTGTGAACCAAGTGCTTTTTTATGTGTGCCTCTCATATCTCATTAACATTATAAATTGCAGCATTCACGTTTTTATGCTGGTGGAAGAAGCAAAAAATGGTCAATAGAAGACTAAATGTAACTTGGTGACCAGTAAAATTTTTTCTGGTCACTCAAATAGTTCTCTTTGTTTTACTTCTGTTGAGCAAATGAATGGAGGTCAAGCAACTACACCTCAGTCAGATACACTTTGATTTACCTAGATGAAGCACCAAAAGATGAACCCTGTAATTTTGGTGCATTACTATGAAAGTGCCAGATGTCATTATAAGGGAAACAAAAGATTGAGGCATCACTAAAAATTGTTTCCACTTGGAATCAAACACCTGTGGAAACCACATGGTTTAAAAGGCAGTTCAACAACCTTCTCCAAATATCTCAAAATATTAGACCTTCTCCAAATATCTCCAAAGTCAATCATTTACTGATCCTTACTGGCCAATGAAGGCAGGAGTCAGCAGGCAGATACCATTAAATGCCAGCATCTCAAACAACTTTTCTACAGGTGTTCAAATCCTTATCCAATATGGAAGAGAAACAATGGGTTATTCTTCAAAGGAAAGAAAAAAAGAAAGAGGACAACTAGAGGGATATGCTCTATGAAAAAAAAGGAATTTCTTACTCAGACAATTCCTCTCCATTTCTAGCAATTTCAAGGTGTGTACAGCTATCATGAAACCTTTAACAACATCTCAGACAGTTATTGAATGACTCTTATTTATAAATTTCCATTAATGCTCTTCCTTGTCAAATTGCTTACTCATGTCTTTCCTATATCTATATATCTATATATCTATGTAGATATTGTTCCTGCAATAACACTGCATCAAGTAAACATCAGTCTCATACTAAAAATATTTTTTTCTTGTGACATTATAATTTCTTTTACTGATATATTCCTGACTTGAAATGACACATTTTCACTAGAATTTTCTAGTTGTATTTGTGTATCTTTAATATAGTTCCCCTTGTTTCAGAGTAGCTTCTCCTAATTGACTTATTAGCATGATATTTTTTATGAGGTGCTTCACTATTAAAGATAGGAATCTTTTTTAGGATCCGCACACTTTCATTTGTGCATAGGAATCTCTGATCTATATTTACAGTAGCTTTATAATTTAACAGATGTTTGGACAGTTACAGTCCCCTCTGGGACAGTAGTGTGTGGTTTTGAACTACTCCAGAGTTGTTCTATGAATATTTTTCCTCACTCTCTTATAGTCCTGGGGGTCTGTAACAGATGCTAATTGCAGTTTCTTCTTTGTTTTTTGATAATCTAGTCTTACCCAAATTATTCCACTGCTGCCCTCATCATTATTGAATTGTATCTTACTGATTTTCAAGGTTTCAGGCAATAGATAAGACCACATTATCTATAGCTTATACACACAGCATAGCTTAAGTTTCATATGTGCATATGGAGATGGTGAGAGCATTCAAGAAATAGGGGCTTTTGGCAGAGAACATCCCACACCTCCTGTCCTTTCAGAAATATGCCTTGGAATAATTAGCAGCTTCATCTCAACTTCCCAATTTGCCACAATGCTCTCAGATATTATGCTGCTGCTCCACAGTTTTCAGAGGGGCTTATCATTCTGCATGCAGATCTGTTCTCTAAATCAAATGCTTTAAGACATTAATAGCATGACCTTAAAGTATTTTCAAGCAGTTTATCTTATGTGAAGTTTTCTGACTTGTACAGGTGAAGATGCCACACTGTGTAACAGTACACATTGTGTGCCCATGTTCACCGTGCACATGTTGCCTGGGACCCTGCCAGAGTAGCCAGCTTCCTTGGTTCAGAGAGAATGGAAACCTTTCACAAATAACAGCCATAATAAATGCTCAGGTTGCACTTCATCTTTTAGTTCAGCGGAGGCAGAAGGCAAAAACTATTTTGATAAAGTAGCAAATATTCCAATTCCAGAACTTAGGACTCCAGGGAAGAATGAAGAAGCAGACAATGCTATCTATTTATAGTAAATTTTGCCTGAATCCCTTCTTTGTACACAACAGCCATGGTCTTTCATGCAGAACCACTGTAGATGGACAGCTGTGTGTCTAAACATCTGTGATGAACAGAACTCAGATGGGAGCTTAAAAAAAGAGAAAACGGCATCAACATATTCATAAGTTGGTGTGTGAACAATGAAAGCACATATTGTAGGTCTGAAGGAAAAAGGCAGAATCAGCTTTTAAAAAAACCTACTAAATTTTCTAAGAAATTCTTTTTGCAGATGTCAGCATAAGCTTTTTGCCTCATTTAGTGTAGCAGTAAACTCAGGAAGGGGACTAAAGAAATTGCTTGACCAACCAGGAGTTTCAAGGAAGTACCTATAAGTCTGAAAATCAAAACTTGACCATAACTTGATCCAGAAGAACTGTATCACCTCAAAAAAGAAAATGAAAGGAAAAAAAATAAGAAAGCAAACTGAATCAGCTCTGACTTGATAGTGTAAATTAGGAAATGATCAGCTGAAAACTGAAGGCATGCAGATAATAATCTCTGCCCTCCCAAGGTTACACCAGTGTCTTTTATCAACTTTCCGTTTGTGAATAAGGTAAGTTAAATGCTTAAAAATTAATAAAACAAAATTAAATGTCCTGTATTGTTGACCAGACATCAGCCTGAGTATCAGGCTTTGTTGTTCTCACTTTTACTGATGCTAACTTAATTTTCAAGTAGCTCTAATAATAACTGGCAGAAGTGATAACACATGACTTGAAAGATGCTATCAGGATCTCTGTACTGCAGAGAATTATAATGAAGCATATAGAATGTATCTTCACCTGAATTTGATCCTTCTTGTTCATTTAACTGTTTAAACGGTTTCTAAATCTAATATAATTTTCTTTACATTAAAATACATTGCCAAAGCAAGAAGAAGCTCTCTTTTCCTTGTCTTTCTTAAAAGAATATGAGTGGTGCTCTAAGAAAAAAACCAAAAATTTCCCTTGTCTTTCATATTTCCCATTCTCTATTCATGAGCATTTTCCTGGAATACCTAGTGATATTCCTCCCGAGAGAGACAAAAACTGCACAAGAGTATATTTTCCTTATAGGAATTTCCATCAGTCTTCAGTGGTTTTGACATGTGCAAAAACGACTGGATACTGCAGACTCCAGCACAGACATACATTTGAAGAATATATTGCACCAGACTGCATATGTCAGTTCATTGCTCAGTTTCCACTGCACTGGATATCTGCTTTCTCTTTTACTGTAGTTTCTCACATGCAAGAACAAGTCACAGCTTCTAGAGTGGAAAAATCTAAAACATTCTCACCTGAAAGGCACAGTATTATAATTTTTGCTATTTAAAAATTCATACTTCTTTCCAATAATCAAAAAATCCAAGCCCACAGTACAAAAGAATTCTGTCTTATAAACACATGCTCCCTAAATAATCTTAAATTTTGAGAAAGAGAGGCAAAAAATCATTGTTCCAACCTTTTAACTCACCCTAAATGAAAAAGGGCTTACCACAGGGTGGTAACTGAGTTATCTGTGAACAGACTAATTTTCTCAAACATATTTGTTATTCAAAATTAATGTATAAATTTCTGTGAGCGATTCCTAGCTTGATCACCAGTATGAGAGCAGTCTATTGTATACAAAATAATGATGGGATATAGAGGTCACACATTACGTATCAGAGTCCCTAAGCAGTAATCTCAGCTCTAATACGAGCTCCAAAGTTACTTATTCACATCCTCTTGCCTTCTGGGATTGAGACAGTCTTGATCGATAAGAGATTTTAAATAAGAAATAATAGAGTAGTAGTCCATTTTCACAGACAGAAAAAAGAAAGTCTGGCAAATGACAATAAAGAAGATATGCCAGACAATCATTCCTTTGTTAGCTACCACTAAGATGTAAAGTCTTTCCTTGTTCCTCTTTTCGACAAATGCTGACATGATCCGAGT